TTTTTTTTTTTTTTTAAAGCAGGCCGTTATGAAAAGTCCCATCTTTGAGCACTGAACAATTATTTAAAAAATCTACAATCTGCAAAAGTATTTCCTATATCAACTCAAAATTTAGCAAATATCTTCAAATAAATCTCCATATTTTATGCATTACAATTTTAAGGCATATTAGTGACGGTCAAGCAAAAACTGTTCTAAAAATGTGATGATTTCAGATGGAATCAGCAGCACACATAAATAACAACACTATGTACTGAAAGAAAGTTCGCTGTGTGTCCCTACATACGCTGCAGTGTCTAAGCTTATTGAAATATATTTTTCAAGTTCACTAAATGCAATTTACACATTTGATTAACAAGAAAACTTATTACCATGGCAGCATATTGCAAAAAATTTAAACCTGAAACTTTATAAAGGAATTATATCTTTGTCAATAATTTAGATGAGCATAATATTATTATCACACTGGAGATTATATCTGGGAAAACTACATTCTTTTTCACTCCAAAAGAAGCACCCCTTCACATCAGTAACCCAACTTTGCAAAGCGAACATCTGTCTGTAAATTTGAAGAAGGTAAAGAAATGTTTGCAAAAAATCCACGAGCAGAGAGACACCACACGCCTCCTTCACGGACCTTGTAGCAGTAGCGCAGGTTGGTGTTGCTCTTCCAGCCGTTGGGGCAGGAGCCGCTGAGGCTGGGGGTGGGCTGCGGGACGGGGGGCTCGGGGCTCAGCGACGTGTCCTGGTTCTGCCGGCAGATGAATTTGGCCTTGGATGACGCACACTCCCTCACCTCCCACAGACCTGTTGCGAAGCCTGTCGCCATGGAGACGCAGCCGCCGCCGATGCTCACTGAAATAGATACGGGGTGAAATGTAGGTGAGGCGAGAGAGGAAAGAGAGGCTGCGCTGATGAAACGGGTGGAAATATAGAAGGGAAGATGTAGCGGAGGGAAAACAAAGCGTGGACAGAAGATTCTCAAAACACAAGCGACACATCCGGTAAACTCCGTCTGGACTCTGGAACTGTGTACACCTGTAGTTTGCTGGTCTTTTAAGGGTTGATTTCATTATACAGATTATATCCTCTACATTCTGATGTGTATCTATGCTTGTAAATAAAAAAAAAAAACAAGAAGAGGTCTTTGGCTTGTCTTGCTAATAATAGCTGAACTGAAAACCTTGAGCCAGCCAAGCAAACTAAAGTAACAGCTTCAATCTGCACACAGGTCAGACGGTTCATATCTTTGGATCCACCAGTGACTCCGAAGCCAGACGGTTCGCCCACATCTGTTTTGTGATCACGTCTCCAGGTTTGGTTCAGAAATTATAGCTTTTGTGCATCTAAATTCCAGTGATAGTCTGTATTTTGCAAGTGAAATTCTTCTCTGTTTGCTGCTCAGGATGACAGTTTGTTGGATGGCAGAACTGAGACACGATTTCCTCGACAAGTAGTCCAGTTTTAATGCATTAGATTAGAATTAACACATGGCACCTGCTGATGATTTTCCTAGATATGCAGTTTATGCGCTAATCAGAGCTGCTTTGGAGCCAAATCCTTATATCAGGATGTAGTTCTAAATCTGTATTTTTGGCTCAAGAAACAAACACCTGGGTCCAATATGTTTTTCTTCTAAAATCCAAAATTGGCTCATGTTTTGGACTGAGCTGAAAATCTCCAGCTACATTATTAGATTAGATGAAACTTTAATAATCCCCTCAAGGAAGTGAACTCAACACAGCAAAAGGAATAAAGGAACAAACAGGCAGTGGGTTGAGAAAGCGGCGTAACAACCACCAAAAAAAGAAACAATAGAATGAAATAAAAATAATACAGCGGATACAAAAGACGAGAGATGAAACAAGTTGGTTAAAGCTGCGGTTGGCAGAAATCTGAAGAAGGAACTCCTACTGCATGAGCTTTAACCCTAAAGTCATCATTTATCTGTGGGTTGGGATTCAAACCCAAACCTCCTAAGTAGAAGTTCTTTGTCTTAAGCCAGTGTTTTACTTTTCATGGCCGTGACTTAGCCAGGTTTTCTAAGGGTGCACATGACATAAATTCTCATCAAATCCATTTTAGGACTTGAGACTATGCTACAAGAAAATGCTTTGCAGCTAATGAGTTTCTATAGATTATAAAAGTAGCATTATAACAACAACTACACGTCTGTGGTGTCAGAGTCTAATCGAGACTTCACCCATTGCACCACCACGTCCCATCTTCAACGTGGACTTTGTTGCGGTTTATATCATCTCATCTAATCACTAAAAAGCCCTGTGATTGGCTGAAATCTTCCATCACAGGGCAAAGTTTCTAAAGTTTCATCACTTGAATTACAATATGCTGAAAGGTAAGTGTGAAATTCATGCCCAGCGATGCCAAAACAATGACGATGCCTACCCATGCCTAACCCTCTGAACCTGCCACCGGGTTTGAAAGGCATGTTATCTTTGGCCAAACACAAAAAGGGCACCATTTGTCACAACCAGAAACTGTAAAAACAGAAAGAATCGTCAGAAGTTCAACTTTGTAACAGTCCTGGAGCTTGTTTCTGGTTCCAGCTGGAAAATTAATTAAATCTAGGCCTAAAATTTGAATATTTCATCAAAACCACTTTATTCTATGTGTGTCAATAAAAAAGAATCTACAAAAATAAACCATTTAAGGTAGCCTGGTTGTGTAAAAACGACAAATTCTGCACAATCATGACCGATAGTGACATGACAAAAATTTAGG